CGTTGGAATGGGCTGCCCAGGGCAGGGGGGGAGTCCCCATCCCTGGAGAGGTTGAAGAGTCGGGCTGAGCCAGCGCTGAGGGATCTGGGGGAGTTGGGAGAGGAGTGTGCATCAAGCAGAGGAGTCCCAAGCCTGCTTCGCGAGAGGAAGAAACCCAAACCCGCCGCCCGGCAAACCCAGTCCTCCCCGGTGCCCGCAGCCTAGCTCGCCTCCTCGCTTCCAAAGCAGCTGACTTCCCCGAGAAGCACGGCACTCAAGGAAGGATTTGCCACAAAGAATATATCACCCTCCTCCCCAGCGGCTGGATACTGCATTTATTATTTTTATTTTTTTTTCTTTCCAGTCACTCTTCTGTGTTTAAATACCAAATATAGCCTCTTGGGGGGAGGGGATGGCAATCTCTTAGAAGAATTTGAAATCTTGCTGGGGTTGCACGGCCCGGGAGAAGGACGGCGGAACCGGGGCGAGCAGGGGTGATGAGCGGCTCTCGGTGACTGGCGGAAGGACTCGAGATTTGCCACTTTTCGGGAAGCCCGAAGGTTGGTTTGTTACCAAACTGTTGTTTCTCCCCTTTTCTGGGTTACGCTACATCCTTCAGCATTATTAAAGAAAACCGAAGCGTTGCCCACGTGTAGCTAGCTGGTGGCTTGATTTTTTTTTTTTTTTAAGGTAGTTTTCATCAACAAACTGACAAATTTTCCTCCCTTCACCCGGAGGCTTTTGAGGTTTGAAACTGAAATGGAGCTACTTTTCTCCCAAACACTACATGTTGTATGAGGGGAGCCAGGACGAAAACATCGTGTTTACCGATTTCGAAACGACTCCCCGACACGGCACCCACAGGGGATGCTTCACGGAGCTTGATGTGGAAAAGAGTTGGAGTGTGCTCAGAGACTTCGTCGTGTCCAGCAGCTTAATTGTTGACTTTTTTTTTTTTTTTAAAGTGGATTCGTAGCATACTTTTATGAATTAAATTTTGCCACCGTTTGTACAGAAGCCAAATGACACGTGTGTTTTGAAACACGGTTCCAAATATATCCATCCCTCAACCCGGATTCTCGCTAGGAAGAGCCGGAGGGAGATCGTCAGTGTCTAAAGAAATCTGATTTTACTGTTTTATGAACATTAGCTGCGGCAGAAGTGTTGCTATAGATTGCTTTATAACGGTTCAGCAAGAAGGGAGATTTTCCAGCTTGCAGGACCCAGGAAACTGGATACTTTAAGTCACTTAAATGTTTTAACAGCACTGGAAAATGGGAGCTGCTACTAAGTTGGCGTTCGCTGTTTTTCTTATCTCTTGTTCTTCAGGTAAGTGAACGGTCTTGGTTTTTAAACCTAAGGCTTTGGCGTCAGCACTTAAGAGCTTGAGGTAACTTTGTTTGGTGTGAATGAGAAGAAACCTTTTCTCAGATGACCAGTGTTTGGGGATGGCAGTTGACTGTAAAGGCAGAAGCTGTTTTCATCGTTATTCTTAAAAATGTATAACATGAGCACTTCAAACGCGTGAGGCGCTTGGGTTTCAGATTAATTGTGTGGAACAAAGGTGGAGGCATAACCACCTAGTGTCACATAAAGTAATCTGGCAGCGCAGTTATTAGTGTTTCATGGTGATTTTTTAAAAAATAAGAATTACCAAGCTGAAATACTCCTAACTTCAATTAGATCTATTATTCCGGACCATTCGCTGGTGAATGGCAACGTTCATTAATGCTTCATTAGTTTAGAATAGGCACCGCTCCGAAAGCGTCAGCTCGTCCTTTAATGATAGCGAGGGGTGTGTGCATGTATAGATGTGTGCACAGAATGGGGCTGAAAAGGTAGACTTTCAGTTTCTAAACAGTAATTTGGAACTCATTGTATTTTGCTACTCAGTACCGCCTTGCGCTGCAAAAAAAAAAAAAAAGCTACTATTTTCCTCTTTAAAACAGCGGAAGTTGAGTTTATTGAGACGCCAGCTCCTGAGTCCTGAGAAGGCAGCGGGGTGTGAGGACTTTCCCCACGATTCTTGAGGAGGAAAATTGTTGTGTTAGCAACCAGTGGTTGGGCAAGCGCTGGTACATTTCTGCTTGAAGCTCCATCGGTTTCACAAAAAAAAAGCTATTGTGAGCTGTGTAACGCTTCTACTACTACTTTACACGGCAAGGCTGGCACTTTGCTTACCCTGTGGATGTGTGTATAGTCCCCTGTGTGTAGGTTGATAACGTTTTTTAGCGTTCTTGCACGGTGTGTAAAGGTATACTTGTTTACCAGTCTGAAAGCCAGCAGACAAGTGCTCAGCTTTTCAGTGTAACCGGTGTAAGGGAGTAATGAGATCCATATAACAATGCCTTTTAAAATTTCAGTGTTATAATGTACAGGATTTTGCTGAACAGGACGTTTTCTTGTGGTTAGTAAATGGATAGTCTAGTCTTATGTCTGTAGCGGTATTGATCAATTCCGTGTGCACTAAATGTGCTGTGAAATGGCGAGCGCTGCCAGAAATAAACCAAAAAAAAAAAAAAATCCTTTCTGTTTTAACCAGATAAATAACAGAGCAGGTTAAGGACAGGCAGAGGTTGGTTGGTTTGGTTTTTTTATTAGAGTACTCATTTATTCCTCTCTTGAAACAAAACACGATGTCTTCTGACGGTTTTGTCATGCAGTAGAAGTGGTGTCTTTAATTTTTTCCTAATACCTTATATTTAAGGGACTCGATCAACATTCCTCTTAATTCGGGAATATTTTCTGCAGGAAAACTTCCCCCCCACCCCCCCACTGGCAGTTTCTGGAAGACTTGGTGCCATCTGCTCTTCATGTCTGTCTCTCCTTTTCACGTCCTTCTATTAAGATCTTTTTGCCTAGAGCACAGCGTAGTGATCTTGTTGACATTACCTATCCGACTCACTAAACAGAATGGTTAAGCAACAAGAGCCGTCTTCAGCATTTCTTGCTCAGGTTGTTCTTGGTAAGGTAAAATATATCTTGCCTGTGAAGATAGAATTAATCCTTTGCTAAAGGAGCAGGAAACTGGCTGCAATTAGGACTGCATCTCATGTGAATGACATGGTTTTGGTGGTTGTTCCAGTATTACACATTGACCTTTCAGGTATTTAACATTTATTAAAATATTTTCGACTTGCCTAAAATTTTAGAGTATCTTCAGTTCTGGTGTAGGTCTAGAAAGAAATAAATTCAACAGGAAGCTTTTGGTTTTACAATGAAAATTATGAGATTATGTAAGTTTTTAGCACAAAGTACAGGCATTTTGGTATGTAGTGTTTCTTCTCTTAACTGTGACTTGTTTCGGTTTAAAATCCTACCTATCAATTGATTCTAACGTCATCATCAGAAGTTGTTGTTTCTTTTCCAGTCTTTAGTTCGAAAAAAGTCTGCCTAGGCTATATGTTCAACCATATTGTCAAAGGTTGAAGAAATCCCAGAGTTCAGGTGTGAAGGTGTCTGGTTTGTCTTTCTCTGGTATGCGGTCTCCAGCTACTCTGAGTGTGTGTGTTGGGGAATGGGGGTGTGGGTTTTCTGTATTAATTTATTTTTATATGCAACTGTTTTCTACAGTTGTTTACATAGCCAATTAATACTAGTGTTCTTTAAATAGGTGCAAATCTTGTGGGTTTTTTCCTATGTGGTGGTTGTGGAAGTGGTCTTTTGGTTGAAGGCATTTTATTTCACTAGCTGTAACTGCTGTGTGAAATCCTGGAGATGTACTTCAAATGGATGGGAATTTCCAGTGAATCTTATAATCTTTGCTAAGGGAGTGAAAATATTTCCCCTTTCTGACTAAGATATTTGAAAAAGAGCATCTGTGTTATGTTGTTAGGCTCTAAAATATTTGTAGATGCTTGGCTAAAAGTGGGTGTAGGTTTGTACCCATTTGTATGAATTCAAGAGATTGAGATGAATGTGTATTAACTACACATGAAAACAAAGCGCCTGGGTCAAGGTTCTCCTTGTGCCCTCTAATATAACCTTTATATAAACCTGTTTTTTGATTTAATGAAGAACAGAAGATCCTGAAGTAATAATGCTTATGAACAATTGAACGAGCTTTCTGTGCCTCTTGTGTAGGTGAGGCAAGATTATAAGTGAGTTTAAAACAGAAAAATAGTAAATAAAACAGCTTGTTCATCAAAGAACGCTTCTCTTTAGATATTATCTATATTATCCCCTCCCCCAAGGAAGTGTGTTTCTGTGCCCTCTAGTTTACATGATTGCCAAGTTATGCTTTATGAAATTTCAGGAACAGAGAATGTAAACTTTCATAATTTTCTGTCACACTTAAGAATTTATACCCCATGCAGCCGAAAATGTGGGAGATGTTGAAGTAGTGAATGGTCTTAAACCAAAGTGTCCTATTGTGGGTGCTGTAGTTTTTAATATCTCATAGTTCTTTTTGTTAAATTCCCTATTTCCCAAACCATCATTTCTTCTCTACTGAGCTACCAGCTCTGTGTTTGGTACCTGGGTGGTTCATCATCAAAGTAGTTCTACAGTTCTAAGTATCTTACAGGGGACAAATCCTGTACTTGTTATAACTCCAGATAAATTCATGCTAAAAATCACCTAAGCAAAAGAAAGCCCATTAGAAAAGTGTTAGTCTTCTCTTTTCTTTCTTAATGCTAGATCATTCTCAAGCTACTCAGAAGGTCTTGAGTAATTGTGCTAAAGGAAATGACATGTCAAAGATACCTTTGTAGATGAAGTAGCATTTTCACTGCATGAGAACTTTGATTTTTAATTTATTCTTCTCCTGACTCACAACGGTGATTACCATGGGAAATGAGTGTTTAATTCCCCCCTGGAAGAAAAGAAAAAAAAAAAAAAAAAAAAAAAAAAGAATTGTAAAGTCTAAGACACTGCTCTGGCTTCAGTAGCTGAATGGTTAGGTGTTCTGAAGGGATTGAGGGGTGGGAAGTGAGGCGCTTTTTTCTTTAATTTTACTACTGTAAGGGTTTTTTTGACTGTCCTCTCATTAGTAGTTTGGTAGCACTTGAAAATCCTGCCAAAGGGCTGGGAGTATTGTTTATGAAATTGTCTCTGCTGGTATGTTCTCTGCAAGCTGCCCATGATTGTGGTTGAACTCTAATCACTTCATTGCACAGGCAGAGCAATAAAACACTTCAGACTTAGTACTGCTTTTAAAGTATAAGTTCTGCTCAAGATTCCTTTTTTATAAGTGTACGCTTTTTTGTATTAAGTGCGTTATCATTGGGCAATACCCCAGCACTCTTGATGTTGCTGTTGCGAGCAGGACTTGTAAACCTACTTAATACTGTTTCCAAGCATAGATATGTTTATGTAGATGTGAACGTTTACGTAGTTTACGAAGTTTCATGGTTCCAGGTTGGTGTTACAACTTTGATTACAGATCAAAATTCTGTTACTATTTTTATATAATCTGTTAATACTCAACAGCAGTTTCAAACTCTAAATCTTCTGGGTTATGAAAAATAGCTGTACAAGTGGTAATGCACTATTAGAACATGGAAGCACAGTTCTAGTAGAGCTCTAGAGAGAGAAATGTTTTCCGGATACTGCTCTCATGGGTTTATTTCCATATTTACCTTCCGGACACAAGTCTTTTATTTAAGCTTTTTCTAGGAGAAGTTTGTGTTCAAACGCTGGATGCTATGTAAGTTGGTGGAGGGAGGTGTTTGCTGCTCTGTGGGGGTGCAAGGAGGTAATTACTGCTATCACGAGTAATAGTTTTAGCTGGTTTTAATGGACAGCATTTGAATGCCATTTCTTCTTTTCTTTCCCCTTCACCCTTTTGAAATTTGGGTGCGAAATTCCTTAGGTGAATGGTTCAGATGATTTTTAATGAGGATAGACAATACTTCCCCCCCCCCCCCC